CGGCAGGGGTGGCCGTGCCCCCGCCGGTCACGGGCAGTGGGGAGGGCCCCTTCGCCTGCCCGCTGTGCTGGAAGGTGTTCAAGAAGCCCAGCCACCTGCACCAGCACCAGATCATCCACACAGGCGAGAAGCCCTTCTCCTGCACCGTGTGCAGCAAGAGCTTCAACCGCCGCGAGAGCCTCAAGCGCCACGTGAAGACGCACTCGGCCGACCTGCTGCGCCTGCCCTGCGGCATCTGCGGCAAGGCCTTCCGGGACGCGTCCTACCTCCTCAAGCACCAGGCCGCGCACGCTGGCGGCACCGGGCCCCGGCCCGTCTACCCCTGCGACCTGTGCGGCAAGTCCTACTCGGCGCCACAGAGCCTGCTCCGCCACAAGGCCGCGCACGCGCCTCCCGCACCCGATGCTGCCAAGGACGCGGCAGGCCCGCAGCCTGCGCCCCCCTTCCCTGCGGGCCCCTACCTGCTGCCCTCCGACCCGCCGGCCACTGACAGTGAGAAGGCGGCGGCAGCCGCAGCGGCCGTGGTGTACGGAGCCGTTCCCGTTCCGCTGCTGGGTGCGCACCCGCTGCTGCTGGGGGGCGCGGGGCCGAGCGGTGCGGGGGGCGCAGGGCCGAGCGCGCCGGGCAAGACGTTCTGCTGCGGCATCTGCGGGCGTGGCTTCGGCCGGCGCGAGACCCTGAAGCGCCACGAGCGCATCCACACGGGAGAGAAGCCCCACCAGTGCCCGGTGTGTGGCAAGCGCTTCCGCGAGTCCTTCCACCTGAGCAAACACCACGTGGTGCACACGCGCGAGCGGCCCTACAAGTGCGAGCTGTGCGGCAAGGTGTTCGGCTACCCGCAGAGCCTGACGCGCCACCGCCAGGTGCACCGCCTGCAGCTGCCCTGTGCGCTGGCCGGCGCCGCGGGCCTCCCAGGCAGCCAGGGCACAGCGGGGGCCTGTGGGGGCGCGCCGGGCGGTGGGGGCGCGCAGGCCGACGCGCTCAGCTATGCCTGCTCCGACTGTGGCGAGCACTTCCCGGACCTCTTCCACGTCATGAGCCACAAGGAGGTGCACATGACCGAGAAGCCGTATGGCTGCGACGCCTGCGGCAAGACCTTCGGCTTCATCGAGAACCTCATGTGGCACAAGCTGGTGCACCAGGCGGCCCCCGAGCGCCTCCTGCCGCCGGCGCCCAGCGGCACCCAGGCTGCCGATGGGGAGAGCGGCGCGGCGGAGGCGGCCAACGCGCTGGACAATGGGCTGGCGGGCGAGGTGGGCGCTGCGGTGGCGGCGCTGACGGGGGTGACCAGCGGTGAGGACCCTGGCAGCGCGGGGACTGCCGGGGGCGCGGGCGGGGCTGGGGGTCCTGAGCGCTTCAGCTGCGCCACATGCGGCCAGAGCTTCAAGCACTTTCTGGGCCTGGTGACGCACAAGTACGTGCACCTGGTGCGCCGGACTCTGGGCTGTGGCCTGTGTGGCCAGAGCTTCGCCGGCGCCTACGACCTGCTCCTACACCGCCGCAGCCACCGGCAGAAGCGCGGCTTCCGCTGCCCGGTATGTGGCAAGCGCTTCTGGGAGGCGGCGCTGCTCATGCGTCACCAGCGGTGCCACACGGAGCAGCGGCCCTACCGGTGCGGCGTGTGCGGCCGCGGCTTCCTGCGCTCCTGGTACCTGCGGCAGCACCGCGTGGTGCACACGGGCGAGCGCGCCTTCAAGTGCGGCGTGTGCGCCAAGCGCTTCGCGCAGTCCTCCAGCCTGGCGGAGCACCGGAGGCTGCACGCCGTGGCACGGCCCCAGCGCTGTGGCGCCTGCGGCAAGACCTTCCGCTACCGCTCCAACCTGCTGGAGCACCAGCGGCTGCACCTGGGCGAGCGCGCCTACCGCTGCGAGCACTGCGGCAAGGGCTTCTTCTACCTGAGCTCCGTGCTGCGCCACCAGCGCGCGCATGAGCCTCCGCGGCCCGAGCTGCGCTGCCCTGCCTGCCTCAAGGCCTTCAAGGATCCCGGCTACTTCCGCAAGCACCTGGCAGCGCACCAGGGCGGCCGGCCCTTCCGCTGCTCGTCCTGTGGCGAGGGCTTCGCCAACACCTACGGCCTCAAGAAGCACCGCCTGGCCCACAAGGCCGAGGGCCTCGCCGCGCCGGGGGCAGGGACAGGTGCCTTGGCAACGAAGGACACCTGAGCGGGGAGCTGCCCACCTCCCCCCAGCTGGTCATGCTCCCCCACACCCCCAGCCTGGCTGGTGACCCACCTTCCCCACCTTGCTGTTGCCCCAATGTCAGACCGTAAACAGAACCTTCGACACTTACGCACATAAACTCAAGACTCCATCGCCCTCCCCTTGGGCCTCTTCGCTGGCCATCCCCGCCCGCCATCAGATTGGAACTAGATCCTCCTTCCTTCGTAGCCCTCATGAATGCCCGCCCCCAGCACTGTGCGGCCCCCCAGTCAGCTCTGCTGGAGCTGGCTCTGAACTACCCGAATCCGGGCACAGTGGGGAGGGCTCGCCGTGGGGGCCTGGGTGCTCTTTTGGATTGGGGTGGGGGGGTGGGCTGGCAGACGCGGCTTGTACAGAGCGCAGAATAATAAATCTTCCCAACAGGCCTGCTCAGTGGCTCCAGCGTCCCAGGGGAAGTGGGGATTTCGTATGGGCCGGGTTGTTTCCTTGGGATCCTGGTTCCCAGTCCTGGCCTGTTCACTCGCTCGGCCTGCCTTTACTCGGGTGTTTACCGAGGACCTACCCCTTATCCCGAGCTTTTGTGTCCGAGGTGGGTGCATGGAGAGAAACAGGGCCGGTAAGTCTGCTTTCCCGTGCCTGGAGTCCTACCCCTTGGTGGTTTTCTGGTTCATCCTGATTCATGGGCCAGTATTCCCGGATGGATTTAACTTGCTGCACCTGTAAGGGACGCCAGGCAGGTGGATGACATGCTTCTTCCTTCAAGGAAGACACTGGAGAACTGTGTGATCCCAGGGGGCCCGCCCTAGGGTGCACGCCCTGTGACCTTGACTGAACCAGGGCTGCGTCCTGAAGAAGCCTTTGTTCCTTACACAAGTCACTCACAGCCCTGCCCCTTTGGAATCATCATCTGGGGGTCTTGAGACACCCATTCACACAGGTTGGCAGTTCCTCACAAGCTGAAACAGTTACCACATTGTTGGTTACTGTTGGCTTGGTCCCACGTGTGGAGACCTGCCTTGCGCAGCGCAAACTTAAGGATTTGGTGCCTGTGACCTTTCAGAAGCCGATTCCTAGGTCTCTTCCAAGGCATCCCTGGGCGGATTTGAACCGCCAACTCCTCAGTTCTCTGATGCTTAGCTTTTCTCGTCACCTTGGACTCCTAGAATTGCCCTTTTGTGGGTACATTGTGTCAGCTCCAACTTACAGCATCTATGTGGACATCCAAAGACAGCGCTGCTCGGTCCTGAGCCTCCTCACAGTCGCCACTGGACCTGGGCCCAAATTCGCTGTGTGAGTCCCTGTCATTGAGGATTGGGTCCGTGTGGTCAGTCCATGTCATTGGAGGCCTTTCACTTTTCTTGCCTCATGCTCTGTTAAGCACGATAGCCTCACAATTCCGTACCTAGGTATGCGCCCTGGACACTTGAGAGCAGAGCCTCAGGTTACGGGTACACCATCATCCACTGCAGCACTGTCCACCACTGGCACAGGTGGACACAACCCAGGTGCTCATCAAAGGATGCATGGGGAGGGGGGAGAGATGAAATGGATACAAGTGTTCTGTCCTGATGATATAAAGGTTTTCTTCCACCATGGAGAGAAGCGAAGCCCTGATGCAGGCCACTGCGAGGAGGAACGAGAGGTCAAATATCCTTAGGATTCCACTGGTAGGAAATATCTAGAGGAGAGTCTTGGGCTAGGTGGTTTTTTTTTATTTTTTAAAATTTCATTTTAGGCTATTTTGAGAGAAAATCAATGAAGCTTCAGTTCTGAATCCTGCCCCCTCCTGAGCCAGGCTCACTGTCTGACACACATACCCCCATTGCCCCAGTCACTGGACCAAGCCATCTCATCCAGGGTTCTCCTCTCCTGTGCTGTCTCTCCACTCATCCAAGCATGATGTCCTTCTCCAAGGACATCCGCTCCTGACAACATGCCCAAAGTATGTCAGAGGGAGCTTCAAAATCCTTGCCCCCCCCCCAAACAGCTTGGTTTCACCCTGTTTCTTCTCTTGGCACTCCATGGTATATGTTCAGTACTCTCCCAGCACCACAACTCAAAGGCATCAATGCTTCTGTCATCCAAGCTCTCTGATGCATAGCAAGTAACCACAAAGACCATGACTTAGATCAGGCACACCTTAGTCCCTAGACTGACATCATTGCTCGTTAACACTCTGGAGAGGTCCCTGACAGTAGACTTCCCCAATGCTATTCGTCTTTTGATTTCCTGACTGCTATTAATTGTGGAACCTAGCAAACTGAAATTGTTCACAATCTCAATCTCTCCTCCATCCATCATAGTGCTGCCAATTGGCCCAGTGGTGAGAATGTTTTCTTTTTTTTTATTTAAATGTTTTTTTAATTTTATTTTATTATTTTTGTGTGAGTGTACCGTCAAATCAGATCTGACTGGTACAGGAGGAGATTGTTCCTCCTTCCCTGGCAGAGCATCTGGTGGATTCGAACCGTGCGCCTCTGGGATTGTAGTTGCAGCTCCTTACCACTAGGCCACTAGAGCTCCCCGAATGTTTGTTTTCTTGATGTTGAACTTCAATCCATATTGAAGATGACAGTCCTTGACCTTCTATAGCAAGTGCTTCAGGTCCTCAGTTTATGTATTTATAGGCACACACACATAGAAGGAGGGAAAGAGAAAAGTGGGGACGTTAGAGACTGAGAGTTAATATTTATGGGCAATGGCTTCTGTGCTTGTAGAAACTGGCAAGTGTCGGGTCTGTGGGTGACATGTGTAGGGTGCTGGTGACAGGCGGAGTGTCAGGTGGCTGGCTTTGGAGACTGCCAGCTTCGGAGGCTGACGAGTCCACAGACAGTGGAGGAGAGCAGGCCAAGGACAGTGGCTTCACAGAGGGACAACCCCCAAGTGGGCAAGTACAGCGTGCCAGCAGGCTGCTTTCAGTCAAGGCTGCGACACCCAGACGTGGATCAGACAGAAGGTTCTCTAGCTTTATTCCAGAGAGTGCGAGCATTCCACCATGCAGAGCACAACTCCGAGGAGACCTACGTTTTGTCAGGTGAGGCCGGTGAGGACTTTATAGACCTTCCTCTGACCCTGTCTCGGGAACAAGGCGGAGGTTAGAATTTACATGGCACGGGGGCTCATGTCTGTGCTGACACTAATAACCATCCCAGTTAAGACAAAAGGCCCAGTGCTTACCTGGGGTGGGAGGACTGGGGAACTGGAGAAGTAAAGCCATGCTGGCTCTCAGAACAGTGAGAGGTTCTGCGGAGTCTGTTCTGATTATCCCATTTGTCCAAGGAGGAGCCCGTGGTCCCAGACAACAGGGACAGGCAGGGGGCACTGCCCGCTCAAGTTCACTATGACCCCCATGTTCACCACTTGAGCCCTGGCACAAATCAGACCTCAAGCTCGGCCACACGACTCAGGAACCCCGTGAAGGTGAGTGTCACCATCTAAGAGACAGGAGGGTGTCACGGGGCAGAGCCAGTCCTGCAGCTGACCCTCAGGCTAGGGGGTCTGGGCAAACCCTCAACCCAGATGAGCTGATACCAGAACAATGCCAGAAAACAGGCCAAGCCTCAGCGAAGGTCAGGACTAAGAATTCCAGGCAGAGGGCTGGGGAGATCTAAGCAAGCCCAGCTTTTCCACAGGGTTTCAAGATTGGGATGTCAGGACGGGGCCCAGCTGGTTCAGCTCATGTCAAATTGTGCTATGAACCCAGTGGGTCTAATCTACCAGCAGCCCCGAGGGAGATGTGGACAGTCCCCTTCCATTACAATCCACAACTTTGGAAACCCCAGGGACGCTTCCCTGTGAGTTGGAACCAGCCTGAAGGTGATGAGTTCAAGGTTTTCATGGCAAGTAGAAGCTCTGGTGGGGCAGTTGTCAAGTGCTCAGTGATTAACAGAAAGTCATTAGTTCAAACCCACCAGGAGAAATGGAGCAGCCTGATTCTATAAAGATTAAATCAAACCCAAGTCAGTGCTGTGAGTCAATTTCAGCTCAGGACCGCCTCCGAGGAGGTTTCTGAGATGGTAAATGTTTATGGGAAGATCGTCAGTCTGGTAGATCTGAACCACTGACATTTCCACCAACAGTCCAACACCTAACACACTACACTACCAGGACTCCTGTAAACCTTGTTGTTATGTGCCATCGGGTCACCTGCCTGCAACTCATAGCGACCCTGTGTATAATACCTCTGAATCCTGCCCTGTCCTGAGCCCAACTCATCATCTCCCACAGACCTAATCACATTCCTCCAGTCACAGTCAATCCACTTCATCCTGGGTCTTCCTCTCCTGCCCTGTCTCTCCACTCTTCCAAGCATAATGTCTCTCTCCAAGGACTGGTCCCACCTGGCTGTGTGTCCACAGTATGTGAGACAGAGCCTCAAAATCCTTGTCTCCAGGGAGCAGCCTGGTTTCACCCTCTCTAGGACAGACCTGTTTGTTCTCCTGGCAGTCCACAATAGGTTCAACACTCTTCTCCAGCACCACAACTCAAAGGCATAGATCCTTCTTCTATCATCCTTAGTTATCATCCAGCTATCTGATGCATAGCAAGTAATTGCAAAGACTACAACCTGGATCAGATGCACCTTAGTCTTCAGACTGAAGGCATTGCTCTTCAGTACTCTAGAGAGGTCCCTGACAGCAGACTTTACCAATGCAATATTGCCTGACTGCTGGTGCCAAGAGTGTTGACTGTGGAACCAAGCAAGCTGAAGTTACCAACAATCTCAGTGTCTTCTCTGTCCACCATGAAGCTGGTAATTGGCCCTGTGGTGAGAATCTTTGTTTTCTTGATACTAAGCTTCAATCCCTGTTGAAGACTACAATTTTTTGCCTTCTGCAACAAATGCCTTATATCCTCTTCACTTTCAGCAAGCGAGATTGTGTCATCTGCATAACGCAGGTTGTTGATGAGTCTTTCTCAAATCCTGATGTCACATTCCTCCTAATAAAGTCCAGCCTCCTGAATGATCTACATATAAATTGAAAAGGTACGGAGACAGGATGCATCCCTGACACACACACCTTTCCTGATGCTGAATCATGCAGTGTTTCTCTGTTCTGTTCTGACTACTGCTCTCTGGTCTAAGTATAGGTTTCATTAAGTATAGGTTGTGGGGGTTTGGTGGGGGTTTTTTTTGTTTGTTTTTTTCTTCTTGTTTTTATAAGTATAGGTTTTGCACTCACCAGATTATGCCAAGAAATCTGGAGGACAACTGCCTGGTTAGATGACTACAAGAGATCTGTATTTATTTCGATTCCAAAAAAAAAAAAGGGGAAAAAAGTGACCCAACAGAATGTGGAAATCATCAAACAATATCACTCCTGTCACATGCAAACAAGACCCTGAAGATTATCTTGTAAACATTACAGCCTTGGAAACCCTAAGTGACAAATCTTCGGCGCTACAGGGCTACAGGGTCTCAATGATTTGGAATCAAATTGAAAGCAGTGGGTGGGGTCTCGTGGGTTTAGAATGCCGGGAAGGGGTCCAGCTGGCACGATGCTTAAAGTGCTGACTGCTTACCGAGAGGTTTGTGGTTCAAATCCAAGCACAGCTCTGTGGGAGGGAGAATTCCTGATCTGTCCCAGTAGCAGTGGTAGTGACCACTCTGTCCTACAGGGTTGCTGTGACATCGTGCTGGGTGGAGGGTCAGTGAAGCTGAGGGGGACCCTCCGTGGGGTGGATCGACCCAGTGGGCTCTGAGAGCCATGCCTGTGAGGATGGTGTGGGGTGAGTCCCCCCGACTCAAGGACACAGCTAATGACCACGGTGGGTTGTCAGGAGTGGGGTTCTGAGCCAACAGAAAGTGTGAGGTCAGGCACGCAGCTCTGTGGCAATCACGAGTGTCTCCCGTGTTGGTCAGACTTCCCTCTCCCGTAACTGGGCCACATACCCACCGTCCCGGTGACTAAGTCCATTCCGACACGTGCTGACCCCTGTGTGTTATAGGATTTTCCAGCCTCTGGAGTGCCACGCCTTTCTTCCGAGGCACTTCAGGGGGCGGGAAGGCTCAAACTACCAACCTTTTCCATTCCCAGTTGAGGGCTTGCCCACTGGCTCCTCCCACGCAGCTCTGAACCATATAAACAGGCCAAACCCAACCACCCATCGCCATTGGGTTGATTTTGACTCAAAGACCCCCCCTGTAGGATAGAAGAGAACTATTCCATAGGGTCCCCAACATGGTATATATCTCTCCAGGAGCAGACTACCAGCTGGGGGGGTTTGAACCACTGACCTTCTGAATAGCACCCCCAATGCTAACTGCCACTGTTACACCACCAGCGCACCTACCCTCAGTGTCTGTGAATACATTCATATAGCATGAGTGCGCTGGCAGATGTGATTAAATGCGCAGGTCAACTGAGGCTCTGGAGCTGGGAAGACCGTTGTCTTAGACTGGGGTTGGGGGGAGGCCAGCCGCATTACCAGCTGCTTTGGGGTCAGTCCCGATTCACAGAGACCCTGCGGGATGGAGCAGAACTGAAGAGGACTGTCACGTCTTATTCTCACACGCGGGCTGCCAGAGGGGAACCACTGACTGCTGTATTAACAGGACCCTCAAAAATGTGGGCCTCCCCCCAAAACACACCCCGAGAACTTTGAACCTCTCAAACACCATCTCCAGCACACAGTCCCCAGCACTTTCTATGTAGCCCCATCAACGTCACAGCTCCAGGGTAAATCTCAGTGGACTTCATGGTACACACCAGCCACTGGGGGTTCTCCTCGTAGCTGAAGGCCCCACTTCTGGTAGCACTGAGTTCCTCTCCTGAGCCGGCCTGTCCCTCCAGCCTCCCCGGTGGGGGTCAGCTCAGTGTCCACCAGCCTTTGGTGGGCCTGAGAAGGGTTCTTGATGGGCCCCTGTCTAGCTTTTCTCCTTGGTGTGTGGAAAGGTGCGCTGAATTCTAGGCCCTGATATGACGGACGGGAAGCTGGAAGCCTTTACTTCTGTCTTCAGGATTGAGAAACCAGGCTTTGGATGCTCTCTCATATACTCTGAGGCCTCGTGCTGGCCAGCAGGGCTGGTGTGTTTCTCGGTCTCCCTGCTCCCATCACGCAGGCAACCCAAATTACAAGGCTGGCACAGAAAACCCTTCACAAAGTCCTTTAATAGGGATGGAACCGGAGGTTTCCCTGTCCGGCTCCAAGTCCTTGCCTCCCCAGCATGTCCGTGCTCGCCCCCAACACAACTCATCACACTCAGGTTTGAAATCCCGCCAGCCCCACCATGCCTCCAGCTGCCCAAACTTCTCTAAAACTGCCCGAGGTCCGGCCAAGGGAACGATCTCCTTCAGCTCAGGACAGCCAGCTGTGAGAGAAGCCTGAAGCTATGTTGCAGGCCCAGGACACCACAGCAGACGGGAGCTTTCCAAGGAGGGTATGAGGTGACCATTTCTTGGCCTTGTTTTCAGTTCCCAGTGCGTAGAAGTCTTTCTGGATGCACTAAGGGGGGGGAGGGGTGCACCAAGGGGGTAGGACTAGCAGCTATTACAATAAATATCCTTTTGTGTAGTTTTACACTTATGGCCTTAATGGCTCCTGGTGGTGACTTGGGGACCCCTCTGGTGCTGAGGTGATGGGACCCCAGAGTCGCTTTATTACTGGCCCATGTGGGCATTGTTTCTCAGAGAGTGAGTGGACCTCTGGTCCAGTGCAATCGGGTGAGGTAGGGAAACGATTCCATGCGGTCCGCCACGGGGAGCCTCCAGGCTGGGCCAGGGCTCTGCAGCTGGAGGGCTGAAATAGGGGTGGAGTTGGGCCCCGGTTCCAGCCGTTCCAGCCCCTCCTGGCTCTTCCGTCATGATGCCCTGGTGCTCTCGTGGGCAGACTCTGTCCTGTGGTGACCAGCTGTGGACAACCCGAAGATGAGGCCAAAGCAGCACTGAAATCAAGCTGGGCATCCGAGGGGCTGTGGGGCCCCTTGTTCCAGGCCTCCCACGGGCGTGTGGGTTGACAGGGGTTCCTTCCTCGCCTGGGATCCCACTGCACCAGCTCCCAGCTGTCCAGCAGCCCTGTCCCACGCCCTTGCCCCTTCCCTGTAGTGCGCCTTCTCCTCTCCACGCCTGCTCCCCGGGGCCTACTGGTCCACCTCCACCTTCACAGTGTCCATGGGCCCTCCCTCCAAGGCCCGGGCCGCCCCCCACGCACCCGCGGACGCAGGCCCCCGCGCGCCCCCGGGGTCCCCCACGCCGGGCCCCGGCCCGTGGAAGTGGGTGCGCTGGTGCTTGCGGAAGTTGGAGGAGTTGTTGAAGGCGCGCTGGCACAGGCCGCAGCGGAAGGGGCGCTCGCCCGTGTGGATGCGTGCGTGGCCGCTGAGCACCGAGGACTGCGTGAAGCCCTTGCCACACACCCCGCAGTGATAGGGCCGCTCGCCCGTGTGCACGCGCTCGTGGTCCCGCATGTCCGAGGAGCGCCGGAAGGCCTTGGCGCAGAACCGGCAGGCGAACGGCTTGCCCACCGCCGCCCCGGCTGCCGCTGCGGCCATCACCACCTCGGGGCGCGCCCGGGGCGCAGCCGCTGCCGCCTCCGGGGACCTCCGCGGGGGCCCCACCTGCACCCCATGCCGGTGCTGGTGCCGCAGCAGAGGCGCCAGGGCCCTGAAGGCCCGGGGACAGAGCGGGCAGCGGTAGGGCCGCTCACCCGTGTGCAGGCTGTAATGCGCCCGCAGGCTGGCCGGCCCCGGGCAGCTGTGCCCACACACGTGGCACCGGCTCCAGTCCCCACTCTGGCCGCCACCCTCGACCCCAGCAAGGTGGCCATGTTCGTGGAACAGCAGCTCAGAAACCAGCCGGAAGGCGGCTGGGCACAATGCACAGTGGAGTGAGCCTGGCTCCGGAGGCTCGGGGACCAGGGTGCTATCGGTCACCTTCACCACCTGGATCTCGATGAGGTCACCTGGAGGGGTCGCGGGGCAGACATCATCTGGCACCAGGACCTGGGGAAAGGGGAGAAGAAATAAGGGGCGTGAAGTCCTTCCAGACCTGCTCATAGTATCTCCCGTTATCAAACGTTCCCCTACTCACTACACATCCATCTACTCTAAGGAAAGAAGCCTGATCAAAAGGGGGGGAGTGTGGAACAGACTTTCAAAGTCTCATGGAATCCAGAATTTCTGGAGCCAAGGAGGCTGGATACACCCCTGACTTAATCTGAGATGTCTCCAGAGATAATCACTAAACTTTAAACAAAAGGTATCCCTTGAAGGTTTTGGATTTTTTTAAATGGTAGCGAGTGTCTGGTGGAGCTCCCCGATTAAAACAAGCTTGGAAGCAGGAGTGGCCTCCACTTCCACAATAGCTTGCCTCTGGAAACTCTATGAACCTAGAGAAAGGACAAACATTATACAGGAGGTGTCCAGGACTTTTGTTCATAGGGTCGCTATCAGTTGCCTGCGACTCGATGGCACTTAACAACCACCACCATCCAATCGGATCAGACTGGTCCAGGACGAGATTGCCCCTCCTTTTCCAGCAGAGCATCTGGTGGATTCGAACCATATATCTCTGGGATTGCAGTGCAGCTTCTTGCCACTAGGCCACCAGAGCTCTCTTTCTTTAAGTCTTCTTAAAACCAAACAATTGTTAGGTGCACTGGGGTGGATCCGGCCTCACAATACAAGATGGTCAACCCCTCAATCTGGACTCTGCTTAAACCCACTGCTGCAGTCACTATGTGAGCCCATCTCAGGGTCTTTCTCTTCCTTGCCCTGGACTTTTCTGGACATGATGTCTTTTTCCAAGGACTGAGGGCTCCTACTAGCATGTCCAAAGTCTGAGAGGTGAAGTCTCACTATCTTTACTTCTCAGGAGCACTCTGGCTGCATGTTCCCCATGACAGATAAGGGTTTGTTTTTGGTTTTTGTTGTTTTTAGCAGTCCATGGGCTATCCATTATTTGTGACCAACACAATTCAAAATAATCCATTCTTACTCACAGTCCAACTTTCACACACATAGGACACAACTGAAAATGCCATGGTTGCAACAAGGAATGAATGGAAATCCAAACTCTCTGCAAATTTTCATTAAAATTAATAGAAATACCATGGCGTGAATCAGGCACAGACTTGAGCTTAACTAGTAAAAACCCGTCTGCCAGTGGTGTTATGCGCTAAGGTTTATCTATATGGGGTTAAAAGAGCAACAGCGGGGGAGCTCTAGTGGCCTAGTGGTAAGGAGCTGCAACTACAATCCCAGAGGCTCACGGTTCGAATCCACTAGATGCTCTGCCGGGGAAGGAGGGGCAATCTCTTCATGTACCTGTCAGATCCCATTTGATGGCACACACCCACAAAATAATAAAAGTTCAAAAGAAAAAAAAAGGGTTAATCCATCTCTCCTGTAGTGTGTGGGTCCCTGAACTGTCAGACGTTATTCCTTTCATCCCTGAATTCCCAGACATTATCCTCCAGGATCCCACTATATCACCATAAATCCCTCTCTCTGTCCTTGTCCTGGGTACAAGGACAAGATATGTCCCTGAATACCGAATTAGCAGGTGTCAGATGGGCCTTGTGAGCTGCAGTGCAAACAATTCACTACCCTTGTGGTCACAGCCCCTGGACTACTGAGGGATACAGACACATTTTAGGGGGTCAGTGGGTTTGCGGATATGGAAACCACAAATATCGCAGATCACGGACCCACCTCTCTCTCCTCCACCTGTGTAAAAACTGATGTCTTGACACCTGATAGAGATGCCTAAATGAGATCTGCGTCTCTTCTGGCCCCCACATCAGCCACCTCCTCACAGCAGCCTGAATGAGCTTTTTAAAATGTAAATGAGATCAAGTCGTGCTCCCACTCAAAACCCTCCAAGCACTTCAACTTGCAGTCAAACTCCAAAACGGTTACCATGACTTAGACCCCGTCATGACTTGGCTTCTGCGTGGCTCTCTGACTCTGGTATAAATATAAGCTAATGTGGCTGACGTCTTTCTATATTAAGCTCCTCTCCACCTCCTCCTCAACTCCACCACGTCACAACTTCACTTCTTTTCTAGAACCTATCACAATACTTATTGTCTCTCGCTAGACTGCATGCAAGCTGCCATAAAACACAGTAGTCCTTGTCTGTCCTGTTCAAGTCTTGCTTGCACCTCTCAGTCAAAGGAAGCCTTCAGTTTAGGTTTGCTGAACATGTAAATAAATGCTCTGTGTTACCCTCCAATTATAACAAAGGTGATTTAAGGGAGGTTCTGAAGTTGTAGGATGGACTTACTCCTCCAAAATCCTCTCTTGAACACTGACATATCATCACACATCACCCAGATATTTTCCCCAACATAAGTGTCCCAGTCATACCCGCCCTACTCTTTTCAGGGTCACCTTCCCAATCTTCTACCCAAACCCTCAAATCTCAGACTGTCACTGAGGCTCCGCTCCTCTTCAGTCCCCGCCCCTATATACAACCAATGAAATAACTGACTCCTCCCACTGGACCTAGTCCCGCCTCAGATGCTATACAACCCCATTCTCAGGCACCACCCACACAAGGCCCCGCCCCCTACCCTTGTCGAATCATAGGCGTCTCTTTAGGCACCAATAGCAAAAAACCTAAACCGTAAACTCCTCTTTAAGACCGCCCACAAATGCTCCTCGGACACCCATAGGTTTCTTCCTAGGTCCCGCCTTCAAAACCTCTTCAGCTATAGGCTGCTCTCAAAGTCTTACCCCCAAATCATCAGAGAAATCATAGGCTCCTCCCCAAGCCCCGCCCCTCACTGATCAGCTGAAACCGCCCCCAATGGCAGAGCCCTAAATACCACCCCCGCCCCCTGCCCCTGCGGCTTCCGCCCGCCTCGAACCCCTCGCCCAGGCCCCTTCTGCGCCCGCACCAGGTCCGGTGGCTCCGGGGATCTGGACTCTGAGGCCTGCGAGGTTGGACTCCGGGGCTCCGGGCGCGCGGCGGCCATCTTGTGTCCAAGCCCCGCCCCCAGAGGCGATTGGTCTCTCTGAGGGGGCGTGGCTCTGGCCGGGAAGGCGGGACGTGACGCTGCGCAGGCCCACTGGCGCGCAGGCGCCCACGTGGGAGATGCGTCCTAGGACCTGGGTCCCCGGGGTGCTGCCCGGGCGCCCGGGTGGGAGGCATCTCCCAGGACCTGGGTCCCCGGGATGCGTGTTCTCAGCCCTCCCGGGGAAGAAGCAGATCCTCCCTTTGGAACTGCAATGTCAGAGACACACCGTCAGCAAGTTCGCGTTTGCATTTTAGCAAGTGAAGCTTGATTCGGGGATGCAGCCGTCGGACATCATTACCTCCCTTTTTCTGCGTTCGTCTTGTGCAAGGACGTGCTTTTGTGCTGGCTTTTGTCTTTATTTTCTGGGATGCGGTCGTGATGCAGAGATGATGAGATGTTTAGAACGTCCGTTTAAAGAGATGCACGGTGGACATGAATCTGTCCAGTGGTCCTCGAGTGTAGAGAGGCAGAGATAATCCAGCAACTGCTTTGTCTTTGAGAAACGCTGATTGGAAAGAAAGCACAAGGGCCTTGCAGCCAATGGCCTCTACAAACACAAAAACTGATTGTTAGCGTTTTCAAAGCTTTTTTTTAATTATTATTTGTGTGTGTACCGTCAAATCAGATCTAACTGGTACAGGAGGAGATTGTTCCTCCTTCTTCAGCAGAGCAACTGGTGGATTTGAACCACACACCTCCGGGATTGCAGTGCACCTTCTTGCCACTAGGCCACCAGAGCTCGCCAAAGCTTGATTTTTTTGACCGCTGATCGCCAGCCAGGCCTTTTTTTCCAGGGTGCCTTCGGGGAGGTTCGAAATCTTCCTCTGTTACTTAGGTGCTAACTCTACCCTCCCGTTCTGCGTAAATTGGAAAACATAGGAACATTCCCTAAGTCTTCCAGGCTTGGATCTTTACAGAGAAACTTATCCGTTTTCTCCCCAGAGGGATTCTGGGATTAGAACTGCAGACATTTACTTTTAACAGTCCCCATACATTCTGCAGTACACCGCCAGAGCTGTCTCATTGCTGTCGTGTCAGAACCAGCTCATGGCTGACTTCTCAGGCTCTTAACCTCATGGGATTGGGAAGGGAGTGCGCCAGGGTTGTATTCTCTGTCTATTCAATCTGTATGTTATATTGCTGTTGTTGTTATGTGCCTTCGAGTTGCCTGCGACTCATAGCGACCCTATGTACAACAGCTCTGAACCTTGCTCTGTCCTGTGCCAATCTGTCTCCACACACCTACCCCCATTACCCCAGTCACTGAATCAATCCACCTCATAGAGGGTCTTCCTCTCCTGCGCTGTCCCTCCACTCTCCCAAGCATTAAGTCCTTCTCCAAGGACTGGTCCCTCCTTGCCACATGTCCAGAGTATGTCAGACGAAGCTTCAGAATCCTTGCCTCCAAGGAGCAGCCTGGCTTCACCCTCTCTGGGATGAACTTGTTTGTTCTCCTAGCAGTCCATGTTATAATGAACACTCTTCTCCAGCACCATAGCTCAAAGGCATCAGTTTTCATTCTGTCGTCCCTAGTCATGGTCCAGCTCTCTGATGCATAGCTCAAGTGATTGCAAAAACCGTAGCTGGTATCAGGCGCACCTTAGTCTCCAGAGTGACCCCACTGCTCTTCAGTACTTTGGCGAGATCTCTGACAGCAGACATTCCCAACGCAATATGTCTTTTAATTTCCTGGCTGCTGGTGCCAAGAGTATTGATTGTAGAGTCAAGCAAACTGAAGTTGTTTACAGTCTCAATCTCTTCACCATCTATCATGATACTGCCAATCGGCCCAGGGGTGAGAATCTTTGTTTTCTTGATACTGAGCCTCAATCCATATTGAAGGCTGCAATCCCTGACTTTCGGCAGCAGGTGCTTCAGGTCCTCCTCAGTTTCAGCAAGCAGGGTTGTGTCATCTTCATGAGGCAGGTTGTTGATAAGTCTACCTCCAATCCTGATGTCACGTATGGTCAGTGTTAGAACTGGCCTTGGATTTGATACTTATCAGAAGGAAAAAAGCCCCTCCGAGTCGGTGGTGTTGGCAGCATGGGAACAGGCCTGCTTTCTTTGGTTCCTGTGGATTCTGGGTCCTCAGGTTTCCAGCCTCTGGCCTTTCAGGCCAGGTCACCGACCTTCTCTTCCGAGGAACCTCCTGGTGGGTTCAAACCGCCCACCATTTGGCTGGTGGTAAAGACCACCAGCCAAATGGTGGGCAAGACCCCGAGGCTCTGCATTTAAAGATCAATGAGGGAACCCTGGTCCAGCGAGTCCTTGGCTGTAGTAAGAGTCAAAAGATAGGTGTGCTATTGAGAGAGAGTTTAAGGGAAGCGCTAAGACCAAGGACAGGGCTGCGCTGGGCTGGGCTGTGTTGTTGTTTTTTGTCCTCCAGCCCTCTGAATCCCGCTGACCACACATGCCTCACGGCTGTCAAACCTGTGACCTTCCAGGAGCCAACTCTGGAGGGCTCTCTGGGTGGGTCCCAGCTGCCAACCTGTGACCAGTTGTCACTCAGTGACTCCCCTCCGTGACCTGGCTGTATGACCTGGGATAAACCACCATAGAAACCCTTCTGGTTTATGGAGATCTGGCGACCTTCTGGGCAAGGAGCTGTGCAGCTCACCTAATGTCAAGCTGCTCTGTGGGAGAAAGACGGGCCATGTCCTCCCGTCCAGCTGCCAACCTCTGAAAGTCGGCCGGAGGGCCAGCTACAAGCTGGCTCCAACTCCACCTCCAGATCACAAGAGGCTGTAGAAAACGGTCAATGGTGCCGGTCATGCACCGAATCCCCTGTCTTCAGAATAAATGTCTGTGAAGTGAGGTAATCTAACCATCATCGCCTATGAGCTCAGAAACCCAACAGTCCTAAAAGCATTAACGGCAGAATACAAACAAGAGCCCTCCAGCCCTCCTCCACCCTCCTCCAGTCCAAGGAGAATTTCCCTGGGGTGTGGAAAGATAAAAAGGAGGAAATTAAGTGGAGATGAAGGGAAATTGCTATAACCAAGGGGGGCAAAAATCATCAGTAGTGCAGGTCAGCCTTCTGGACTCAGGTCCCATCGACCCTTGATGAAATATATTGCTTCAGCCTAATAAAAAATTGCCTATTATCCCCTTTCTACGAAGATGGCGCCGAAAGCTAAGAAGGAAGCCCCTGGCCCTCCCAAAACTGAAGCCAAAGCAAAGGCATTAAAGGCCAAGAAGGCGTCCTGAAGGGCATCCACAGCCAAAAAAAAAA